ACAAAGAGCATACGGACGTAAGAGTTTTTCTGCTCCAGGTGGTTGAGTGCAGTGTGGACCACAGAGGAGATTGCATCCTCTGTTGATCGGTTCTCACGGTATGCTACGTTGGAGGAGTGAAGAGAATTTATTATTGATTTATTTTACAGATCAGTTAAAATAAACAACATGCTCTATTCAGCAAAATATGCTACACAGTAGTGCTCGCTGCTTCGGATGTTCTGAAAGTGAACCTTAAGTGAACGGCCATGACTTGAAAGTAGTCTTCATGCTCCCTCTGCTGGATACATTGTACAATTACAGCTGGTCCAGCATTTTAGGGGTGAAAATTAGAAGTGTTTATATCGGTGCAAACGCTATATTGGCCTAAAATATCAGCCCTACGTATACATCAGCCGGGCTCTAATTACAATTACTTCACAGTATGGGTCTACTGGCATCAGCCTGACTCTCTCACAAAGAAAATATTGTCAGTTTTAGGAAAATTAAAAAGTTAAATGAAGACATTCATTTGGTTTAATCTTGGTCATACAAATTAATGTCTTCTAGTCTAAATATAGTTTTATTCCAAGAACTAAAGTAGCAGCAAACTGCAAGTTTACCAGAGAGTGACTCGAACAGGCTGTGCAGCGGAGCCCTCTCTGCACAAGTCAGACATGTCTGTATGTTAATTATGCTGCTCTATCCATCCATCCATTATCTTTACCCGTTTATTCCATTTTGGGTCACGGGGGTCGCTGGTGCCCATGTCCAGCAATCACTGTGCGAGAGGCGGGGTACACCCTGGACGGGTCGCAAGTCCATCACAGGGCCACATAGAGACAAACGAGACAAACAACCATTCACTCTCTCACTCACACCTAGGGACAATTTAGAGTTACCAATCAGCCTAACATGCATGTTTTTGGTCTGTGGGAGGAAACCGGAGCACCCGGAGAAAACCCACGCATGCACGGAGAGAACATGCAAACTCCACCCAGAAAGGCTCCTGGACCGGGGTTTGAACCAGGAACCTGCTCGCTGAGAGGCAGCAGCTCTACCAGTTGCGCCACCGTGCTGCCCTATGCTGCTCTAAACATATACAAATTTAATACAAAGTTAAATTTTAGATACAGAAGGTGGGGAAAGGTTGTGACGTGTGGTGGAAGGAAGGGGTGATTTATATGTTCTGGTGCTTCCACCGCTGCACAGAATTTGTTCACGTGCAAACATATACTGACATTAATTTTCTACAAGCCATCATCTTTATGACAGGGCGAGCGGATCCTTTGGTGGGGGGCGCACCACCCTTCTTCAATAATGCTAGGGGAAAAGGCTGCATGAACCTGGGGGGGGGGGGGGGTTCCAGTTGAATTTTCATGTCAGAAAATTGGTGGGTTCTCAGCAGCCTCAACTTCAAACCTTGGTCATCAGATTCACACACAATACTGCACAAACTATTAGTGAACAGGTTGCTACAATGTTTGAATCCATAAAATATAGAAAAAATAAACTGTTATTGACTTATAATGCTAAGGGTGGTTAGCCTGGTCACTGAGCACAACAACGAGCAAATAACATCGGTTAATTTTCTGACAATCAAACTGGAGCTTGGTTAAGTCTGGATTCACATCATTCTTAGGTCCTAGTTCCAACTTTGGTGGCAGTTGTAGTGCAGTATCAACCTTTAGTGTGTGTGAGACATCTTACCTGCAGATCTCTGATGTCAAACTGCTCCTCGTAGATATATGCTGCGTCAGCCCCAGCAGCCAGGCCTCCTACTGTGGCCAGGTAGCCACAGTAGCCCCCCATGGTTTCAATGATGAACACACGTCTCTTGGTCCCACTGGCGGACTGCTTGATGCGGTCACAAGTCTGGCACATGCACACATGCTCACAACGTTAGAACACTAAGGACTAATGTGAGCTACATATGTGAATGTCTAAAACTACTAAACTTTAGCTGAATCCATCAAAGTGGCAACAAATCACACCAGCATAAATACCGGGGCAGAGGTTAGCAGTCATGTAGGTACTGGTTACATTGTTCCTTTGCCAGTTTTGGTCACTTCATACCCAGATTGTCATGGGGAGAAAAAAAGAGCTACCTGCCTTGAAGTAACCTTCTTGGTTAGAGTCCTTATATTTGTCCCTACTATGGAGTCTTTCTCTTGTTATGCGTTTTTTATTTTATTATTTTTGTACTGGCCTTGAGGTATTTTCATACACAATGTTTTTCTATTTACATTAAAATTAGGGATAGGCTTTATGCAATGATTTGTGTATTTTAATATCAACACACACATGTTGTTTTCAATGAGCATTTATGCAATTACAATATTTCACTTCACCAGTAATGAATTATAAAAATTTAAACTATCAAGAGAAATACATGGATATGCTGTGGTAAAGACATGGGTACCAAATGGCAACTCCTGGGTATGACATCAGGGTATAATATGGGGGCAAAAACTAGCAAAGGAAAAAATCATAGTCAGTCATACTGTTAGCATACTTTAACACGTTTTACATATATAAAACCGAGCAAATCAACATGCTGGTCATTTACAGAATTCACAGATTGAAGCAAAATGCTGCTTTACCAGACAAACTGGAGTCCTGCAAAGAGCAAGAGAGCAGATCAAATGTAAAACAACTTTCAATACGTCTGTGTGGGAAATCTTTTCTCAGCTGGAGTGTTTTTCTTTCTTTCTATTGGCCCAGTGCTGATAATCAAATTTAAATGTTCCCTGCTGTCAACTAATGAGTTTTAAATTTCAAAAGTAGGAAAAGTTTAAGATTAGTGTGACATACAGTTAAATTGTAAATCAAGTTAATGCAAAGATTACAACTTTATAGAAAGTACATATTCATGCAGCACTTTTGGATTATATAATTAGACAGTTTGTTTATTAGCACTGGACCATTAGCTCCACTGATACTTAATGTGCATATCTGAATGGGATCTTGAAGAAAAGTGGTCAAAACTGTGGCGGCTCAAACTGCCTTACCTCTACGATAGCATTGAGGGCCGTGTCTGCCCCAATACTGAGCTCAGTGCCGGGTACATTGTTACTTATGGTGGCAGGCAGCATACACATCGGGATGCAAAACTCCTCAAAGGAACCACGAGCCTCATAGAGTTGCAGCAAACACTCAAGCGCCTGAAGCGGCAGTATATAGAACACACATGTTAGAGCCGCTGAAGGGGGCTGAACACCGAGAGAGGTGAAACTCTCTCAGCTTGTGAGAGCATATCCTGCCATTCTGGCCATTTCCGTGTGATAGCCGTCGTGGCTTCCCTTTGGCAGATGAGGACGGGGGTGCAAACAGAGCAGTGGAGAAGACGGTGACGAAACGGAGAGGAGAGAACAAGGGTGTACGGTATGAAACAGGTGGTAGAAAAGAGGGAAAACAAAAATCTGGGAGAGTCAAAAATGTGAAAGCAGACATGATGGAGGTCTGTGTGTTTGTGCGCCACGGTATGGAGCAACCATTTGACGGCTATAGCAGCTGTGGGGCGGTCTAAACTAGACAGGACAAGCAGCACTGATCAAGTCTGCAAAAACACCAAGGGGAGGATGAAAAATTGAAAACAATGATTGTCTGACTAAGAATTAGTCCAACACTTAATTTTGTTGAGACTGTGCCACCCTAGATAAAAAGCTAAGTCAGTATGGAAAATACAAACAAGAGAAACTGACATGGACTTTTATTTCACTGTAGTTACAAACCAACAAGTATCTCGTTTTATTTATTTTGTGCTGAGGATAATGAGGAATTCTATATTTTGTCTTTCGGCAAACACTTTGAGTCATTTAAAGATAAATGATTCTATTGGGGACAGGTCGGTTTTGTGCTCATAACTTTTTCCCTTGCAGCCATTTTTTATAAATTATGCAGAATGTGGTTACAAAATAGATGCATGGACAAACCTGGAAAATATGTGGTCTAGAAGGCCATGTACTGTATGTTGATCTACATTTTTAGCATGCACTTTGCCAAAGATTTTGATTTTATCCCATACAAAGTTGTTTTTGGACTTGACAGTTCCATTACTCTTGTAACATCCATTGTTTCTTCAGAAGAGATCTAGAATAATGATTAGTCTGAACTTAATCTTTGTTTCCACTGGGTGATAGTCTGTCCCAGATGCCTCTAAGCCAAGAAAAGATGTTGTCACATCTAGACAAGGTCCACAAAAGGCTTTTTTGTTTTCACATTAAAATTTTAAGATTTTTTTAATGAATCTACCTCCATATTATATTGTTATTATAAAACATTGTTCTAAATATTTCAACAACTGTCCTATGCATTTCTTTGCAAACTGATCCAATCCTGACTTTTTTTAAATGGGGCAGCTGTAGATGAGTAGTTAGAGCAGTCGTTCTCCAATGGGAGAGTTGGGGGTTCGAATCCACCAGCAGTCACATGTTGAAGTGTCCCTGGGCAAGACACTGAACCCCTCATTGCCTCTGATGTGTGTCCCATCGGTGTATGAATGTGATAAAGCTCTGATTAGTCTCTACAGATTCAGATTAGCTTTGTAGAGCTCTAGTAGAGTGCTGTGTGGAACTGTAAATGACGGCACAGGTTGTGGTGTAAAGTGCTTTGAGTATCTTGACTACATAGAAAGCACCAAGTACAGTCCATTTACCATTTACAGACTTTTAAAAAATGTACTGCAGATCTGAAATGTAGGAATGGATGTACGCTACTGTGAAAATCTGCAGTCATCCTTCATTTTGCTTCCAAAGAGCAGGACTTTCTTGTATGTTTCTTTAAGTGGTCTCAATCAAAAATTCTGGAGGCTTTTTGAAGGTACAAAGTTTTTCTTGAGCCATTTCCCCATTTGCCACTCATTTTCAACCCAGTATCTTACTGTTTTAAGATAGATTGGTGTTATTTTTGGTTAGCCACTTAACTCCGACATATGAATCATTCAGACAAAAAGCTCCTAAATGTAACAGATGAACCACTCTTATGTTGGAACCATCACATATTAAACTGCACATTTCAACTAGCGTTGGATGTTTCTTAGTTCATGTCCAATAAGAAGGAGCTTTTAAGTTTGGACTACTGTTTTGTAGTCAAAACTATGGAATTCTGGGTAAGGAACCCTGTTCCTCAGGGTTCAGTGCTTGGACCAATATTCTTTTTACTATACAGTAGTCCCTTGTTACTTCACGGTTCAACTTTCATGGACTCGCTCTATAACGGTTTGTGGACGTACAGTCCATAATATTGTACAAAAAATAATAATTGGACAGGACAATTGATTTTCAACTTTAATATTATTCACGTGATTGGTACAGTAAAATGTTAACGAAAAATAAAATACTTCAGACAAGCGCTGACATTTTGTAGTTTTCTCTCAGTATCCACTGTATTCCCGCTTATAATGAACACATAGAAGCCCTGTTTTCCTTTCGAAAAACCAGAGGTAAAGTTTTGATCTGATTGGCACTCAGCAGATGCAGAGAAGCCGCACTGAACCTACCGAACCGAACAGAACCGTATCAGAGCCAGACCTCCAGACCCATCTGTAAATCTTGAGAGCTGGTAACCGGCCCACATGGACTTCTATGCGCAAACACATATCAAAGATCCAGAGCTGTTTTTGTAGCCCATCGGGACTTGGACTCAATCCACCACTTACGGTCCACACCAGCCAACAGGTCTGCTCCCCTCCCACACACACAAAAAAAAGTGCTTTAATGCCCAAGAGCTGCAATGACACAAAAAAGAACCAGACCTCTAGACTCAGCGGTGAACCTGAGAGCTCTGGGAACACCCTTGGAAGTAAAAATTTAGCAGCTACATATAAGTCTGTTGTTAAAATTAGTAGGCTTAAGAGTTTAGAACATTGATTGTGGGCTTAGTTGCTGCAGGGTAAGTCTGCACAAACTGAATTGAGTTGGATTGGAACCGAGAGCTGTTGCTGTGTTCTGCAGAGCTGGTAAGTAGAGTAAAATTTAGTAGATACATATACAGTACTGTATGCATGTTGTTAAAATGATGTAGGTTTAAGAGCTTAGAACATTGCAAGAGTGTGGGAAGGGTTTCTTAAAGCCTTAAAATATATACAGGTCCTTCTCAAAAAATTAGCATATTGTGATAAAGGTCATTATTTTCCATAATGTAATGGTAAAAATGAAACTTTCATATATTTCAGATTCATTGCACATCAACTGAAATATTTCAGGTCTTTAATTGTTTTAATACTGATGATTATGGCATACAGCTCATGAAAACCCAAAATGCCTGTCTCAAAAAATTAGCATATCATGAAAAGGTTCTCTAAACAAGCTATTAACCTAACCATCTGAATCAACGACGTAACTCTAAACACCTGCAAAAGATTCCTGAGGCTTTTAAAAACTCCCAGCCTTGTTCATTACTCAAAACCGCAATCATGGGTAAGACTGCCGACCTGACTGCTGTCCAGAAGGCCATCATTGACACCCTCAAGCAAGAGGGTAAGACACAGAAAGAAATTGCTGAACGAATAGGCTGTTCCCAGAGTGCTGTATCAAGGCACCTCAGTGGGAAGTCTGTGGGAACGGAAAAGTGTGGCAGAAAACGCTGCACAACGAGAAGAGGTGACCGGACCCTGAGGAGGATTGTGGAGAAGGGCCGATTCTAGACCTTGGGGGACATGCGGAAGCAGTGGACTGAGTCTGGAGTAGAAACATCCAGAGCCACCGTGCACAGGCGTGTGCAGGAAATGGGCTACAGGTGCTGCATTCCCCAGGTCAAGCCACTTTTGAACAAGAGACTGCGTCAGAAGCATCTTGCCTGGGACTGCTGCTGAGTGGTCCAAAGTTATGTTCTCTGATTACAGTAAATTTTGCATTTCCTTTGGAAATCAAGGTCCCAGAGTCTGGAGGAAGAGAGGAGACACAGAATTCACATTGCTTGAGGTCCAGTGTCAAGTTTCCACAGTCACTGGGGTTTCATGTCAGCTGCTGGTGTTGTTCCACTGTGTTTTATCAAGGGCAGGGTCAATGCAGCTAGCTATCAGGAGATTTTGGAGCACTTCATGCTTCCATCTGCTGAAAAGCTTTATGGAGATGAAGATTTCATTTTTCAGCACTACCTGGCACCTGCTCACAGTGCCAAAACCACTGGTAAATGGTTTACTGACCATGGTATTACTGTGCTCAATTGGCCTGCCAACTCTCCTGACCTGAACCCCATAGAGAACCTGTGGGATATTGTGAAGAGAAAGTTGAGAGACGCAAGACCTAACACTCTGGATGAGCTTAAGGCCGCTATCGAAGCATCCTGGGCCTCCATAACACCTCAGCAGTGCCACAGGCTGATTGTCTCCATGCCACGCCGCATTGAAGCAGAAATTCATGCAAAAGGATTCCCGACCAAGTATTGAGTGCATAACTGAACATGATTATTTGAAGGTTGGCGTTTTTTGTATTAAAAACACTTGTCTTTCATTGGTGGGATGAAATATGCTAATTTTTTGGGACAGGCATTTTGGGTTTTCATGAGCTGTATGCCATAATCATCAGTATTAAAACAATTAAAGACCTGAAATATTTCAGTCGGTGTGCAATGAATCTGAAATATATGAAAGTTTCATTTTTATCATTACATTATGGAAAATAATGACCTTTATCACAATATGCTAATTTTTTGAGAAGGACCTGTATAAATACTAAAATAAACATGGCGTCCCTAGTTCACGGTTTTTCACTTATTACTTATCAGTCCCCCATTGCCACAATGGGGGACTGGAACCTAACCCCTGTGATAAACGAGGGACTACTGTATATGCTTCTATGCTTCCATTAGGTAAAGTTATTAAACAGCATGGGATAAATTTTCATTGTTATGCTGATGATACAGTTATATTTGTCCATGAAACCCAATGAATCCAATCAGCCATTTAGACTACAGGCATGTCTTAAAGACATAAAAACCTGGATTATTATCATCACACCAGTTCTGTCCTCCATTCACTGGCTCCCTGTGCGTACTAGAATAGATTTTAAAATTATCCTGTTGACCTATCAGTGCCTAAATGGCTTCACACCCCTTTATCTCTCTGAGCTACAGGAACCATATGTTCCTTCTCGGACTCTGAGATCATCCAATCAGCTGCTTTTGGTTGTTCCAAAAACAAGACTGAAGCTCCGAGGAGATCGGGCATTTTCAGTCATGGGCCCAAAACTCTGGAACAACCTGCCCCCAACATTATGCAGGCCACCTCCCTTCACCTCTCTGCTAAAAACACATCCGTTTTCTCTGGCATTTCACACAATGTGAGCTGATTTATTGTTTTGTTCTGTGTTCCTATGTTTTTATCTAATGCTTTTAATTAATTTTTCAGTATTATCATTAGTGTGTTATTTTTTTCCATTAAATTAACTCTCATTCATGTTATTGTTAAACACTTTCTTAACAGTTTCTGTTTTAAATATGCTCTATAAATAAAGTTGACTTGACTTGGATGACGTTTAATTTTGCTTTAAAACTCAGACAAGACAGAGGATGTGGTTTTTGGACCTGAGCATCTTAGGAACATCTTACTCACAGGTTTTTACTGTGCGGGTTAAAGGACACATCCTGATTAAAAATAACACCAAGGTTTTTAACTTTAGAGGATTTAACTTTTGACTTGAGAACTTATTTTCTAAAGTGGAACTTGTTATTAAAAAGTTTGAGAACAGTCAGTCCATCTCTTCAGAAACCAGACGTGCGCAAACGGTACACTAATGTCGTCCATTGCTGAGGGATTCAAATAGTTGCAGTTTGTAGTTGTCTAGATTAATGTTTTTCTAGACTGGAATTAAACAGGGCATGTAAGTAAAGCATAATGTTTTTGGTGCAATATATTTAAGTGGGTAGGAGCTACTCTGTGGAGAACAACAGAGGCAGTTTTTTATTTTTTTTATTTCTGCCTTTTTTTCTTTGCTTGTCCGATGCAGCACAGGGTGACGAGTGCTGACGGATCCTGGTGAGTGGAGGGAGCAATTATATAAGATAAGATAAAATAAAAGTTTATTGTCCACCAAGGTGGAAATTTTTCTTCGGCTCTCCAACCATAAAATAATATCCACCACCAAGAGAAATGGCAATGGTATATTAATCTTCTTGTTTAAGGAAATTATATTTTAAGCAATATAAAAACTAGAAAGCATTGGTTGCTAAAATGATAGGGGTGGTCCGTTTACACACATACCCACACACACACACACATATATACATATAGCCATTTTGGATTTTGGCTTTGCAACCTAATTTTTATTGGTGTTCGATCTTAGGCCACACGCCAAAATTGAAATTGGTATCTCACTTATTTTTAAGCTATGATTTTCACAACATTGATTCACGGACAGACAAACAAAGAGGGGTTCCAATTCCCCATTTTCACGCTGTGACAGAGGACAAAAAATAGTGGTGACTTAAGAGTTTGTACAATATTTCATATTACATGAAAACATGTCTTGATTTTCCATACTGTCTCATCTTTTTTCTTCAGGCATAAACATACGAAGAAACCAGACAAGAAAATCTACTTCCTGTTATTTTAAAAAGAAGGAAGGATGAACACGCATACAGGTGGTAGAAAGGGGCAGGCAGCGCAAACATGGCGGTCACGACACTTGTGCAGCACACTGCATGCCTCCATGTTTTCACTCACTTACTTACCTTTTTAATGAAGGGAGGGATGCTGCTGTACACATTAGTTTCCACCAGCTGTCCTCACAGTACAGACGTGCTGCGAGGCTAAAATTTTAAAGCTCTGACTGGAGCTTTCCTGTAGGCCAGATGTGGCTTACAGATGCCAATCATCACAAGAATTCTCTCCCAGATAATCCTCTGAAGGGCTGGCAGGAGTAAGAGTCACTGGTGAAAAGACTGAGTGAGCCATCTCTCCCTTCTTGGAGCAACAGGGTTTTGCTGTGTAAGCATGTATGTGGGTTGTGTGTGTGCGTGTGTGTGTGTGTGTGTGTGTGTGTTGATGTGTTGCTGAGCTCATCTAAACCTTGTCGCCAGGCACCATCACTTACAGCAGTGATGGCGTTCAGGGCCGTGTCAGCGCCAATGCTGAGGTCTGAGCCAGGCACATTGTTGGAGACAGTGGCTGGGACCATGACCATCGGCACACAGAACTCGTCAAATTTCCCACGAGCCGCTGACAATTCCAGCAGTGACAGGAAGGCCTGCAGGGCAGAGCCAAGGGCTTTAGTAGGGTCTGGAAGGGAGAGAGACTTTGGCACGGTGGTTGGGTTGAGAGGTGCTACTTGTCACAAGGAAAGGAAACACACACAAGTGAAAAGTGCCAAGGGGAGGAGCCAGGTCTATCACAACGGACAGCAGCGAAACAGACAGGTACAACTCCACATTCAGCCCCACAAACACATCAACAGAGGAAAAGTCATTTTACTTGCATTCATTACAGGAAAATAATTGAAGCTGGTGAGCATCTAAACAGGACTGCGTGAAATGTTTGGAGGAAAGCACCAAATTGTCTCCACTTTCACTTCTAATTTCAGTCGAATGCTTCAAGTTATTCTCTTTGTGTGTCTCGGTTTGCTTGGAACTCATTAGCTCTGTTGTTCCAGTTTGAGGCAGAGAACTGACTTTGAAGCATTGGTATGCATACATGAACCATATGGTGATGTTTGGCATGAAAGGGAGAGGAATAATGGCATGAATCAACACTAAACAATATTCAGCACATCATCAGAACAACAGCTGTCTGTTTTAACAACATGAGCAGTAATAATGTTGCTAAAGTCATTAATATTCAGCACTAAAAAGCCGAGCTTGTAGACTAAATTTAAAATGAGCTTGACTATCACCATCAAAGGATTTAAACATACCTCAAATCCACCGATAACCAGCAGAGCGTTTATGTTATATTTGCGCATCTGCTCTGCAATTTTATCGACATGCTTCGCAGGAAGAGTTCTGAGGAGAAGAAGTAAAAGTTTGATTTTCACACAATCACCAAAAGAAGCTGTGGATTCATAAATGAAACAAAGAGCTGTTGAAAAAGGACACGCAGCTGCTGTAAACTCCAACCTTTTAGGATGTTAGAAAGTACAACTTTCACATAACAAATGTCACAAAAACAAAAACCTTTACTAGGAAAAAAAAGGTTGATTTTGACTAGACTAATGAGCTAATGACTAGTTCAAGCACTGATCAAAATCAAAGTGGATTAAAGTCTTAAAATAACTCAAATCCAAAATTTGATGGCATTTTCAGCAAAACATACAAGCGTTTACATTACCATCAGTTTCACAGTACAGTCAATTACTTTAATTTTTGCTGTGCTTTGCACAAATAGTGGAATTTCTGATGCAGCCTGGAGCACCATCATATTCCTCCCTCAAGAACCGTGTGATGCAAACATATTAAAAGTCCATCCATGCATCCAATATCTTCCACTTGTTCCGAAGTCAGGTTGCGGGGGCAACAGCTTGAGCAGGGAGGCCCAGACATCTCTTTCCACAGCCACCTCTTCCAGCTCTTCTGGGAGGATTCCAAGGCGTTCCCAGGCCAACCGAGAGACATAGTCTCTCCAGCGTGTCCTGGGTCTTCCCCGGGGTCTCCTCCCAGTTGGACATGCCCGAAGCACCTCCCTAGGGAGGCGCCCAGGGGGCATCTTTACTAGATGCCCGAACCACCTCAACTGGCTCCTCTCGACGTGAAGGAGTAGTGGTTCTACTCCGAGTCTCTCCTGGATAACTGAACTTCTCACCCTACCTCTAAGGGAGAGACCAGCTACCCTGCGGAGAAAACTCATTTCAACTACCTGTATCCGCGATCTCATTCCTTCGGTCACTACCCAGAGCTCATGACCATAGGTGAGGGTAGGAACATAGACCGACCAGTAAACAGAGAGCTTTGCCTTACAGCTCAGCTCTCTCTTCACTACAACGGACCGGTACAGAGTCTGCAATACTGCAGATGCTGAACCAATCCATCTGTCAATCTCACAATCCATTCTTCCCTCACTCGTGAACAAAATCCCAAGATACTTGAACTCGTCCACTTGAGGCAGAACCTCACCCTCGACCTGAAGAGAGCAATCCACCCTTTTCTTGTTGAGGACCATGGCTTCAGATTTGGAGGTGCTGATTCTCATCCCATCCGCTTCATACTCGGCTGCGAACCGCTCCACTGAGAGCTGAAGATCACGGCACGATGACGACAACAGGACCACATCATCTGCAAAGAGCAGAGATGGAATCCTGAGGCCACCGAACCGGAAACCCTCCACCAGCTGGCCGCACCGAGAAATTCTGTCCATAAAAGTTATTAACAGAATTGGTGACAACGGGCAGCACAGGCAGAGTCCAACTCCCACCCTGAAGAGGTCCGACTTACTGCCGGTAATGAGAACCAAACTCTCTCACCGCTTGTATAGGGACTGAACAGCCCATAACAACGGGTCTCCAATCCCATACTCACGGAATACCCCCCCACAATGTAACCCAAGGAACATGGTCGAATACCTTCTACAAGTCCACAAACACATGTAGACAGGATGGGCAAACTCCCATGACCCCTCAAGGACCCTAGTGAGGGTAAAGAGCTGATCCAGTGTTCCACAGCCAGGATGGAACCCACATTGTTCCTCCTAGTTCTGAGGTTCGACCAACGATCGGACTCACTTCTCCAGTACCCCTGAATAGACCTTACCAGGGAGGATAAGGAGAGTGATTCATCTACAATTGAAGCACACCCTCCGGTCCCCCTTTTTGAAGAGGGGAACCACCACCCCAGTCTGCTAATCCAGTGGAACTGCCCTTGATGTCCACTCTACCTTGCAAAGGCGTGTCAGCCAAGACAGCCCCACAACATCCAGAGCCTTAAGGAAATCAGGGTGAATCTCATCCACTCCTGGAGCCCTGCCGCCTTGGAGCTTTTTAACTACCTCGGCGACCTCAGCCACGGTTATGGACGGATCAATCCCTAAAGTCCCCCGACTCAGCTTCCTCCATGGAAGACGTGCTAGTGAGATTGAGAAGGTCCGAGAGGTATTCCTTCACCTCCCAACGACATCACTGGTTGAGGTCAATAGCACCCCACCTTCACTGAACACAGTGTTAGTAAAGTGCTGCTTTCCCCTCCTCAGCCACCTGATGTTTGGCCAGAATCTCCTCGGAGCCGACCGAGTGTCTCTATCCAAGGTCTCACCAAACTCCTCCCACATCAGAGCTTTTGCCTCAGCAACAGCCAAGGCTGCACACCACTTGGCACTCTGGTACTCCTCAGCTGCCTCCAGAGTCCACTGGCCAACAAGGCCAGATAGGACTCCTTCAACTTGACAGCCTCCCTAACCCAGGGTGTCCACCACCGAGTTCGTGGATGGCCACCGTGAGAAGCACCAACAACCTTGCGGCCACAGCTCAAGGCAGCTACCTCAACAAGTGAGGCGCGGAACATGGCCCACTCGGACTCAATATCTCCCACCTCAGCTGGGATGCGGTTAAAGATCTCCCGGAGGTATAGTTGAAGATCTCTCTGATGGGTTCTTCTGCCAGGCGTTTCCAGCAAACCCTCACTACACGTTTGGGTCTACTGGGTCCGTCAGACATCTTCCCCCGGCATCTGATCCAACTCACTACCAGGTGGTGATCAGTTGACAGCTCAGCTCCTCTCTTCACCCGAGTGTCCAAAACAAATGGCCACAAATCAGATGACACGACTATGAAGTCTATGAAGTCAATCATCGATCTATGACCTAGGGCATCCTGGTGCCAAGTGCACTTATGGACTTATGTTCGAACATGGTGGTCATGATGGACAAACCATGACTAGCACAGAAGTCCAACAACTGAACACCACTCGGGTTCAGATCAGAGAGGCCGTTCCTCCCAATCATGCACCTCCAGGTCACACTGTCATTACCCACGTGGGCATTGAAGCCTCCCAGCAGAATAAAGGAGTCCCCAGCTGGCGCACCTTCCAGCACCCCTGCCAAGGACTCCAAGAAGGCTGGATACTCTGAACTGCAGTTCGGCGCATAGGCACAAACAACAGTCAGAGCCCATCCCCCCACCCGAAGGCGAAGGGAAGCCACCCTCTCATCTACCGGGGAAAACTCCAACACACAGTCAGGGGGCTACAAGTAGACCCACACCAGCTCGACGCCTCTCACCATGCACAACTCCAGAGTGAAATAAGGTCCAGCCCCTCTCACGAAGATCGGTTCCAGAGCCCATGCTGTGCGTCGAGGTGAGCCCAACTATATCTAGTTGGTACCTCTCAACCTCGCACACAAGCTCAGGCTCCTTCCCTGCCAGAGAGGTTACATTCCATGTCCCAAGAGCCAACTTTGGTAAGCCAGGGTCAGAGTACCAAGGTCCCCGCCTTCGGCCACTGCCCATAGCATCATGCACCTGACTTTTATGGCCCTTCCTGCAGGTGGTGGGTCCACAGGAAATATTATTACAAAAGTAAAGGTTTAAAAAAACAGCTATAAAATGTTGAAGACTGGGGTAGTTTTAAGACTAAAACTGCTTATAATAATAATAATAATAATAATACTGCATAATACCATTTCAACAGCTGATCTTAGGCTTTCATATTTGGAAGGGCTCATGGGGAAATAAATCAGCCATGCATTAATTTTTGTCTGTTATTTTTTTGTTTTTGTTGCAGCCAGTAAATATTTTTGTTCTTGACAAAGTCTAAAAATCCAATTTTTTTATTCTTTTTGTAAGAATTGTTTCATATGCTCCACCTCAGTAACATTATTGCCCTCTAGTGTTCCTCAGAGGGAAAACAAACAACCATAAGGAAATCCCATTATAAATGCATTTTCTTCAACATTCATTTCATTGTTTGGGGTGGCCCCTGTGGAAGCACCCTTTAGCAAGTATGAGAGGAATACGATTGTTTTTGGCTCTCTTCTAGTCAGGAGACTTATTTTATGAAGATGGAAGGATCTATATCCCCCGGCATATGAACACTAGATAAGAGAAGTTATGTGTAATGTTCATGTGGAAACAATTAAATATACTCTGAAAGGATCTGGTAAGAGATTTTGGGAGACTTGGCAGCCATTTGTATCTAATATTGAAAGTATGTCAGTGCCTGTCTGATGCATGCATGTCTGTGTAGCTGATCCAGTATGGGAGGGGCATCATCCATCATCCCAGTCCCAAAAAGCTCTACAGTGACTGGTCTGAATGACTATCGGCCAGTGGCCCTCACCCCGATAGTTGCTAAATGCTTCGAAAAACTGGTCATGACTCACATCAAAACAACCATCAACATCAACGAAGACCCTGATCAGTATACATACCGTGAGAACCGATCAACAGAGGATGCCATCTCCTCTGTGGTCCACACTGCGCTCAACCACCTGGAGCAGAAAAACTCTTACGTCCGTATGCTCTTTGT